TTATCTATCCCAAGAACATTTTTCCATTGTTTAATTGACCAATGTTTCTGTGATTTAGCCCAATTAACAGCTAAAGGCCAATGCTAGCCAAATTTTTCCAGTCCATCCTTAATGGTGGAAGTGTTACATCATTATCATTAAGCTGCTAGTGGAAGTGTTAAACCATAACATCATTAAGCTGATTGTATAAAAATCTAATTTTTTTGGCAGTATATCTTATTCATTAAGGAAATCTTATTTATTTATCTAACTTAAAATTTGTTAGTTTTTTTAGGTCTTCTAGAGTGTTTTTTACTTGCATGTGCATCGCTTTTTTTGTGTTGTAGTAATGTCCTTTGCACATAGCATCTAGAAATTTTCAGTTTTTAGTCTTTTAAACTTTTAAACTTATAAATAGCCTTTCGGTAATGTTTAATTTCTTTCTTTTACCTATTTTTAACAGTAGAATAAAATTTTGATATGAAAAATCAGTTTTTAAAACTAAAAAAAAAAACACAAAAAAAATTTTTAACATTTTTTAAAGATATTAACTTTTAAATGTATTATTAACTCTAGCCAAAGTAAAGATATAAAAACACTATTTTATCAAAGAAATTTAGATTTTAAGTAACTGGGATAATCTAATTGAATAATCAAGTACAATTTTTCATTTTATAAATAAATAAGATTTGTTTTATAAATAAACAAATATAGTCTAACAAGTGTTTATTATTGTTAATGAAATAATATATACAGGCTTTGGAATTCCGAAAAATAAGATCAGCAATAATTTGTCGACCTTTTAGAGGTTAGGTAAAATAATACACAAATGATACAAAGAAACGAGATCGGCAATTTTTTGCCAACCTCAAACACTTTTAGGTTGGCATTGCCAAATGCTGACCCTAGTTCTGAGGGCTATATATATATATATTAGAGTTATGACTTTTTATCAACCCCATGCTTCTGTACTGTAGTTTGATGAACTTTTACCTAAAAAGCACGAAATGAACTATTATTTGCATATCTTTTCAAAAAAGTTCACCCCCCCAAATTGAAAAATCGATTTTGACATAAGTACTACTATGTATTCAAATGTATTTAAAATGTCATAGTCATGTAATACAATAAATTTTTAATCCAACAATGACTCAGACCGTTGACCTTGTTCTTACTTGTTGCACAGAAGGAATCGAAGGTGCAATTTATCTTTATTTTTGTATGATGAATAAATTTCCTCCATTATTTTGATTGCGCGCTCTCCACATTGATTACTTCTGGGTATCTGTAGTATGGATGGCTCTCGCTTCCAGTGGTTTTTCAAAGAGCTTAAAGCCTTTTTATATGGATTCAGTATTTCAGCCAAGTTATTAGTTGTTTTCATTGTACAGTTAGCCTGTTAACTAATGGTCTGCCCAGTCATACAATATAAATCGACATCGACTCAATGCAGAACTGTTGTTGTTGAAGGAATTAAAATGAAGGCCAGGATTGCTAGTATAGCTCTGGAGTTCCACCTTGCATTGCTAATGTTGGGTATTTTCTGAAATCCGATCAATGGAAAATATCCTTTTTCCTCAAAAAATCGGAACACTCGAGTGAGTTGAAACAAAAATTTCATATCATCTCCAGCCTGATGTTTCGAGAATTACTTCTGTTCCATAATCAAACTGTGTTTTCAGTTGCTCGTACTCCTTCAACAGTTGAGATACAAATGGATATTCGATGTTTAACGGTTGTGTTTTACTTCCAAGTTCTTCATCCATCACCAAATAGAGGATTCTATCTAATACATGGTGTTGACAACTGATAAACTGAGGTTTGTTGATGAGTTTCTCTGTGAAAATTTGTTGCAATATTACAACAACACCATTCTTTTTTCCAGTGCTAATTTTGGTGGTATCTGCAAC